AGTAGTGAGAAGAGAAGTTGGATTGCATTTTCTCAATTTAACAGTCTATTATGTAATCTGTTGATAAAGAATGGAAAGATTAAGACGAAACTTAAAAGCATTTATGATCTCTTGAGTAATGTTTTCTTCTTTTTAGTTTGATTTCGAGCTGTCAATGTCGGTAACTACCCCTTTTAGTGCTGGTTTTTTTGTGCATTTTGTATGATTGCACATTCATTTTTTCTTTCATTTTGTAGAATTTGTTGTATCATGTGTTATAGACTAAACTATAGATATAAATTCTGGATTTTTTTTTGTCTTGCGTGTTCTTGAGAGGATGAGTAGTGCTGGCAATTCATTGATTTGAAAGTGCATCACTATGATCCTTGAATAATAGAGTTCTTGCCTGCATTTCCTTAGTGTCAAGAATTAGAAGTGTTAGTGATTGATCAGCTGTGAATAAAGGGAATATCAGTGAGCAGTGAATTATTTCTTCTTCTTTGTTTGCTCTTCTTGGTTTGGTTGAGGAATAGTTATCCTAGCTAGATGAATGATGCTTCATCACGACTGGTTCAATTATTTCTTTAAATGACATTTCAAATTGAGTAATTAAATTGTTATAGTAGGTTTCACAAGGTATTTCAAATTGGTTTATTGAACTTTTAGTGGGTTCCCCTTCGATTTGCAACCGTTCTCTTCTCTCTGAACATGTGTTTTGAGGAAAATATTATTTAGTGAAAATTGTTATATGTCAATGTTATACATTGAATAAATTTCCAAGCTAATATTATATTCAATTCTCTATTCTATTTCATGTGCTTTGAATTAGTGTTTTTTTTTCTTTTTTTGAGTTCTCTGTTGTTCCATTCCCCCATGGAAGATTAAGGTCCTGATTGTTGGAGTTCTCTGTTGTTCCCTCATTTCGTTTTCATGTGAGCTGATTGTTGAAATTTTGCTAGAAATATTCAAATCATTTTTCATGTGTTATCTTTTTGGGAAACTATCCCTTCTGTTGTTAAGAACCAATCTTTGAGGTGATGTTGAATATTGATCCATCTGTAGGCTAGAACATACTTTGAACAGCTGCCTAGAGGCCATTGAGATGGAGATAACAATGATGAATAATTTTTTGGTGGCCCAGAAAAGGTGAGTGGGCTTTTCTTGAGGATAGGACAGTGTTTCTTTGCTGCTTTTTCTCTTGGTGTTATGGTTATTGCTCTTGGTTTTCTACTGCCACTGCCTCCTAGTATTTAATAACATGCTTCTCTCTTAATTTTACTATTTCTCCTTTCCCTTTTTGGTTTGTTATACTGGTCAGGACTTCATGTCATGGCTGCTTTTGGTTTTGAGCAATTGGGAAAAAATGACCCAGTTCATATTTGAGCTAATAGACAGGAAACTTACCTCTTTCTTTGTTATTGCTTGTGCAGAATGGAGCTGTACAAAGGGTGAAAGATGATTCAAATATTGGATTTTCAGCTGGTTCTTTCTACTTGGGAATCAGAAGTGCATAAAAGGGTATGTTCCAAAACTCATTGTAAAGTCCAATATCTGATCTACCACAAATGCTGGCTTGTAATGAAATCTATCTCAAGTGCTGCCTTTATGCTGCTCTATTCTACAACATTGGTTCTGATTGTTATCACAAATTTTATATTCAGACATAGGAAATGTATCAAAGGCTAGACCCTACCTCTCTGCCACCTACAATCCACTTGGCAAAAAGAAGATAACAATGAAATACTATCGTTCCTCCTCTAAATAAGAAATGATTTTTGAATGTGTATTTTCTATTAAAAGGGCAAATACCACCCTGTTTACATATCATTGGAAGTGCATTAACATAAATCGGCAGTAAGAAGCGACATCAAAAAAGAAAAGTGTGTAAACTATAAAAATGTGAAAAAGGTCGACTATATTAAGAATAAATATATATTTATGATAAATTATTTTTGTGTGCTTGGAATACACAGGACTATAAATTTGAAGAAAAGCAACTCTCCATTGATTGGAAGGTGATGTTAAGTTATTTTATGGATAGTGTTTTTTGGTTAGTTTTTCTTTAGATTGGATGTTGTAATAAAAAATTTCATATAAGATTCGGCACTTTTCCTTCTGAAAGAAAATCTTGGCAGTTTTTATTTAAAAAGAAAATTGAAAACAAAAGCGTAATGTGGTAAGTTGAAGTATAAGATAGGTCCATAACAGTAATTAATGTGATAAAGATAAATCATAAAAAGGGAGGGGAATAAGAATATGACATAGGTGAATTAAAAAAAGGATGAAAGAGTGAATAAAGAAATAATAAAATATTGTTTTGCTTAGCAGAAATTTTGTAAAATATTCAAATAATATCAAGAAAATGTCTAGGTCCTTTTAAATGATTTTAGTTCTTCTGGTGCCCTTAACTATAATTTTTTTATTCTCCAATAATTTGTCAAATTTCTAATTTAAGTACTTCCAATTTGGGAGTTTTGAACTATCTTCCAAACGTCCGATAATATGATTCCCACAAAATGATTAGGAAACGGGTTGCAATAATAGTGGCCGCCTACTTTCATACGTTATTGTGTTTTCACGTACTGTGAGGAAAAATGACCGCTTTAGTCTTAAAGTTTGGCTTCCTGATCAATTTCACTCCAAAGTATTTTATAGTGGTCAAATTTTATTGCAATGTTTAATATTGTGGCCAATTTCATCATACGAAAAATGTTAATTAGAATGATTAATAAACTTAATTTTTCCAAAAAAAAAGGGGCAAAAAATCACGTAATATCATTAAAAAATCACGTAACTATTGAAAAAAATACGAAAAATGTATATTTTTTTTCTTCGTGGGTCCCGTATTGAACTCTTAAATAAATAAGCTAAACTGTATTTTGTTTCTTTATACTCTTATTTTTCTATTTTTTTGTATCACTACATCTTTTTAAACATGTCATTGACAGAAGATCATTATGTAGCATTATGATAAACTGAAAATAGCATAATAACGTTGTATTAGTTTCAACTAAGAAGCGAAGACAATTATATAGTTAATGACTGTGTAGACTGTTATAATACTACTGTAATTTCATTTTGGTGCTTCAAAAACAAACATATAGTTTGGTTGTATTTTAGTACAAATATTGCACATGTGATTGTATTTTGGTGCACATAAAATGAAAAAAATTTGGTTGTACTCTTGTGCATATATATTGCTTAAAAGTTTAGTCAATAATAGGTTTACACAAATGTAGATATATATACATAATATATATATATATATGAGGAAATAAAGAAAATAAATGCAGTTTAGGTTATTTAGTTAAGATTTTAATGTGACACATTTTTTCGTCTTTTTCAAGAGTAATTAAAGTCATTAATGATGTCACGTAATTTTTTTGTCATTTTTTCTAAAATAATTGATTTTTTAATCATTCTAATTAACTGGGCATTTGGTCATGAAGTTCAAAAATAATAATTAAAAAAAAGGCTGGTTGACTAAGTCAGTTGACGAAAAATACTAATCTGTGATTGGAAGGATGAAATTGACCTGAGTATTAAACACTGGGATTAAATTGACTGCCTTAAAGTACTTTGGGATGAAATTGACTAGAGAGTCAAACTTTAGGATTAAATTGACCTTTTTTTTGCCGGAAAAGACTAATTTGTAACCGGAAGGATGAAGGCCAGAGTGTTAAACATTAGGATGAAATTGACCAGATGATTAAATTTTAGGACTAAGTCGGTCATTTTTTCCGTATTGTGATTATTGTTGAAGTACAAAAATTTTAGTAAGAAGGTTCAACTACCCAAGTTTAGGGGTGTAGTTTCAATTCTTGCCTATATACTTATATTTTAGCCTTAAAGAATGACCTGTAATGAATTTTGTTTCGTAAAGCTACTTGTAGTGGGAATAAATTTTTTAATCACTTGGGATACAACACTGCAATCGCATAATGATGTATATTGTGGTTCATTCTTATAAACAAAATGTTATCGTTCCTCTTTCTTTTCTTTTTTTTTCATTACTATGGTCAATTACACCGGTCAATTTAAAGAGAAACTCCTTAGACAGGTTTCTCCCCTCTAGATACCATGAGTTTCTACAATGTATTCCTAATTGTCTTCATTCCTCCTTTTTGAAATTGAAACTACATAATTTTTCATTTACAATGGACACAAATAAGCATGTCACCGTTGGAATTGTTGATCAATTATCAATCATTTCACGCATCGACCAACTGGAAACAAACTTTATGGGATGGTTGAAGCAGATGAATGTCTCAATTTACTAGAATTAAAAGTTGCAAGTATAAGGAATACCAATGGTGACACCAACAGCCGTGCGACAAACTCGGAGGCACAGGTTGAGTACATTGAGAAGTGGGCTGGAGCATTTAACGTTGGCAATGTCAGTGGATGAATCAAATTTGTTAATGTCCATTTTACCATATTATTCATATTTTTCTTATAGCCTCATGTAACACCATAAGTTTAATTAGATATTGTTTTCTACATTATTTTGTTTTAATAATGTATATAATTATATTCAATTGGTATCTGTGTTCGACCTAATAATGTCATTGATTTTGTCTCTTATATTTGTATAAACCTGTGCCATTCTGCATGATAATACTATTTGGATGTACATATTATTAACGACGAATGTATAAAAGATTCTTACTGTTATGATGAATATATCTTTCCTTTTTTTAAAAATATTTGTCTTATACTTTTTCGAATTTCAATCGTCAAAATATTAGTAATGATTACTGTGTATTTTCAACTTTAACTATCTTCCAGAATCTCATACAACAATCTGTTATATGAATGCGAACGGATTGACAGACAATGAATTCTCAATTCACCATTATAATTTATAATATGAAATATTGATCATAAATTCATGAACATTCATACTTATATTAAGTAACGTTGATAATTTTGTTCATTTATACATTTTATTCTAATTGAAATATATTTGTTATATCAATGTAAAGAGTCGGACACAAAAAAAAAAGTTGGGGATTTCACGGGCTATATCTAGCGAAAAACTAAATCCAACTGTTTACTATTGACTTGTCTGGACTCTGGGTGGTTTCAGTTTTCACAATTCACATGGCCAATTATTTGGATGCTTTTATAAGCTGACCCTACACACCTTTTTTTCTGACAACAGAATTAGGATTACAAAAACAAAACAGAACCAATCACAATTCACAGAGAAGCAAAAGAAAGAAACAGAACAGAAAAAGAAACAGAAAAGATGCCGAGCTTCTCCTCACCTGATGATGATAAAAAATTCAGATCCAACTTTCATGGGAGCTTTTCATCGGAGGAAGAAGGCCGTCCATCGTCATCAGACCCTGATGATCACCAGATCCCAGAAAATTCAGACCCGAATTCCAACTTTTCATCATCAATTACTAAAACTAGTAATGAAAATGATGATGATGATGATCGATGGCTGAAGAAGAACACTTCAAATAAGAAGATGAACATCAAGAAGAAGAAGAAGAAGAAGAAACAAGTGTTTTTAGAAGGGTTTGTTGAGAATCCTGATGAAGATGAGCTGGGGAGGACAAAAAGCTTGACAGATGATGATTTGGAGGAGCTGAAGGGGTGTTTGGATTTGGGTTTTGGATTCAGCTATGATGAAATCCCTGAGCTCTGTAACACTCTGCCTGCTCTGGAACTCTGTTATTCTCTGACTCAAAAGTACTTAGATGAACAACATCAACCACACAAGGCTTCTTCTTCTCCTGTTGAGTCTCTTTCTGATAACAACAGCAGCCCTATTGCTAATTGGAAGATTTCTAGTCCCGGTAATTTTGTTTGTTTTTTTTTTCCAGATCTGTCAATCAGAAGTGAGTTTTTCTTTTTCGTTCTTAATTTAGTGAACTTTTGTGTGCGTAGTTTACTAGTAGACTTGTTTGCCTTTTTTCCTTGAGAAAGGGTGAAGATCAAACATACTTCAATAGTATGAATTTTTTTGTTAGAAATCAGATTTTGGGGCTTTTGAACTTTAGTTTTATCAAATTGACAATTATCCTCATGCCAGCTTGATGATCATCATATTTGTTAGTTCATAAACCTATATAGAATCATGTCAGTACAATGGTATTCTTGGTTTGGTTTAGATTGAACATGGGCAATCCATAAGGGAATGGAAAAAGAAAAACACATGAAAGAGTTCATTTTGAGGAGTTGGACTATATTACTTTTACACAATCAAAACTAGCCATCCATTTTGAGTTTGTTCCAAGTGACAAAAATTAGCTCTGAATACAAGTTTTTGCTCTGTCACATTAAAAGAATCTGATTACTAATCTCGGCTCCATCTCACTTTTCAGGTGATGATCCTGAAGACGTGAAAGCAAGGCTCAAATATTGGGCACAAGCAGTTGCTTGCACAGTTAGATTGTGCAGCTAGAAGTTATTAGCTTGCTCGAATCCTTTAATTCCTCTGCTGCATTAAAATGGATGCAAAACCATAATCGCCAAGGCGAGCGGTATAAAACTTTCAGTCGATCAAGGGGCATTCTCGCATTGTCGAATTTTGATCATGATGTAAGAGGAGAGGACATTTTGGATTGCTCAGAAAGTCACTCTTGATGATGATTCTCTTTACCCGGAGACAGTGAAGGAAAAGTCTCTCTGTCCATGAAAGGTTGAGAACTCTTAACTTTGAAAAGTTAAAACAAAATATAAGAACAAGCTGATTCAATAAAGGAATGGAAATGTTTTCCAGATGTATATCATCGAGAGTATTGAATCTTAATTTGAGTTAATGATGATGTACTGTTGCTCTTCTTTTGACTCTTCTTATTCATAGTATTCAGAGGTTGATCAAATGATAAGAAAAGAAATTTTATATCCTTTATTGCACCGAATATAAGAGAAAGGAAATACTTATTCTTTTGTCTAACTCGACAATAATTTTTGGACCAAGAGAGTATAAAGAAAGATTCCTGAAGTGATCATTTTTTTTTCATTGTTTGGCGAATAATTGCAAGCGTAACCATAAAATTTTAAAAGAAGTTGTCATAAAGATTTAGAGAAAAAAAAAAAAGGATAACTTTGTCTTGTTACTATTAATGGGAACAGCGGTTGCTATAAATCTTACTACTGTATTGTCATTCTGTTATAAACTTTGTTAACTTTTTCTAAAGCATAAAATTCAAATCACTCACTTTACTGTGTTTGCTTGTTCTCAATGAAAAGTTCCTCTTAGTTTTTTTTTTAATTATTTTTATAATTGACATTAGTGATGGTCAGTTTTTTTCCCCCCTTTTGAAATTGAAGTGGTAAAACGTCTAAAATCAGACTGAAACATTACAAGGTAACTAAACTATTCCATTCCTCAGCCAACAAGACCAAAAAATTCACTATGAAATTAATCTCCTAAGACTCAACAAAACGTCTTAATCCTCAAAATATCTCTGCTTCTTCAAATCCATGGAAATAAGACTCACATTTTGTCAAATCCACTTTTAAGGTGGGTGATTTGAAAAAGATAAAGAGAACTAGAGAAGGCTCGGGTTACGTAACACTAACGATAGAGAATTCAAAGAAAATGTGAAAAATGTGTGAAAATATTTTACAAATCACACGATCCAGGCCCTTTATTTCTCCACAAATAAGTCATCTTAACCCTTTATTTTGGTTGTTCTTGACCATTTGGACATTTTAGATCAACAAGCCCTAATTCTTGAAAATTTCTAAGACCTCCTAGAAATATTATAATCACTGTATAGAATTATGGAGTGTTATAATTGTTTGGGCAACAATTTTTTTTTTTTTTTTTGCCGAGCCAGCAACCTTTGTTGCCTAAAAATGCTTGATAGAATGAACAACGGGTCTTCGATTTTACTTTCATGGTGCTGCTTCTCTGACTATAAGTAGGAATTGCTATCGAGAATAAAGATTAATTGTATCATTGAAAAACCCATCTAAGTATGAACTATGAACGAAGCTCTTCAGAATTCAAATCATGCAAGCTCTGAACCTACAGAATGTGCAAAAATTTCTATATATAAAATGTTGGCTTTCATAAAATAATCGCAGTTTAAGAAACCTTTTAAGTTTAATAACTTGTTTCAAATTTACAGCAACATAACAGTGGAAAATTCCACAGCCCAAGTCAGGATTGTGCTTCAAAGAAGGGCTTCAGTGCTGTCACCACTGCTGCCCCAAGCTCTTTCTTTCCAAATTCTTTCCACTTCTTCAAATGTCAAACCCTTTGTCTCTGGCACAAAAACAACAACAAATACGAAAGCAACTACAGCTATTGCTGCTATTATCAAGAAAGTTGGACCGATACCCAATGCACCAGCGATTGAAAGGAAACTTTGCGCCACTATAAGATTCGATATCCAGTTCACAGTTGCAGACATTCCTCCACAGATTCCTCGATATGCTTGTGGATATATCTCTGAGTTGACAGTCCAAGGTACAGGTCCCATTCCAGGAGCAAAAAAGGCTATGTAGAGGGCCAAACCTACAATGGCGAGCCATCCATAAAGTCCATAACTACCAGTGCCGTCTGCAGATGGTTCCAAGAAGAATGCAACCGCAAGCAGAATAAGAGAGACGATTACTCCTGCTAAGCTACTAAGAGCTAATTTCCGCCGACCAAAATGATCAATGAAATAAATTCCAACTATTGTGCCAATAGCATTCATTCCAGCTACAATCAGGGACAGAAGAAGTGCCAACTGATTGGACTGGAAACCTGCCATTTGAACTATTGTTGGGCTGTAATACATGACAGTATTTATCCCTGTAAACTGCTGAAATGCCTGCGAAATGGAATACACGTGAAGATCAGTATATTGTCTCTATGATTGGTAACATCTGCGGTCTCTGAGGTTAATATTCACAAAAATCAACAATAGTGAAGCCAGGGATGGAAAATTTATCTACCATAAGAACAAGTAAGCTCTTGCTTTGCTAAGCTGGGTTCTTTCTAAGTCTACATCATTCATCTCCTTCCTTTTGAATTTGAGTAATTTTTTTAATTACTTACAGACTTGTACTGTCTCACCAAAGTCCAACTCATAGAAAGGGAGCACAGGAGAACAAATATTCTACTCCCTCTGTCCCAGAAAAATAGTCCACATTGAGTTTTAAATTTTGTACTGTTTTTAGTACAAATTTGAAAACTCAATGTGGACTATTTTTTTGGGACGGAGGTAGTACATGCTTGGCGAACTGTTTTCAAGAATCATTAAAGATCTTTGGAGGTTCATTTGAATGATGAAACGCAATATAGATGTTTGCTGCTTTTACTAATTAATCATTTTTTCCTCTTTTTCAATCTTCAATCATTCCATCCTTGATATAAGGAAGAATAAAATGTTACACCTGTGGTAACCTCCATATTTTTTATAACTAACCATCAGAAATTTGCTTGTCCAATATGGAATGAGAACTGAACGAAGCCAGAGATTACAATCACCTCAGAAATGAAATCCATATTCACAATGCGTTTGGTATAAAACACAACAACAGATTCTCTATCTCACTTCAATGGCCCAGTAAATGGAATCGTCTCTCACCATTGAATTCACGTGCTCTTAGTTTCGTGCAAGTTAATCACATCTTTAATCAATTAATTTCCAGTTCTTTAAGCATCCTGTGTCATGTAATGCCTCACTTGGCATTAGTTTACCTGTTTACTTTCACTACTAAGCTAAATGTAATGCCAGGATATTACATTCATTAGTTCATCAGACCTTTATGCTCAGGTGATCTACTTTCCTTTGAATCTAGACTATGTAAAAATACCATTCAACTATATGGAATGCAAAAGAAAAACAAAGGAAAAGTCAATGATAAAGGAGATAAAGAACACTAGCAGGAATCTGAGCCCTTCTTGAAGATTTTTCAGCTACATACTGAGGAAGATAAGATTAACTATAGTCTCAAAGGGAAAAGCATAGATTCGACTGGAATCTGTCTACTAAGTACTGGTCAAAGGAGGAGAGCAAATTAAAAATAAAAAAGTAATCAAATAGGAAAGAACAGATACGGGAAAAGGATATACAATAGGAAGCCAGAACAGCAATGCACTTATGTCCAAATTTACCTGGAGTCCAGCCCCCGCAAGAAATGCAAGTCTCATTTCTTTAGACTTGAAAACGTCCCAGAAATGCACACTGCTTTTTCTCTGGGATTCCTCAACCAATGTAGTTGCGAGCTGATCGATCTCATCCTCTAATCGTTGAGGACCATATATTTTGGAAAGCACTGAAATAGCTTCAGATTTATCCTTCTGCAAGATGTACATGACTCACTCACAGGGGGGAAAAAAATTATAATAACCGCTAAAACTCTTTACATGCTCGGAAATTTTCTTATACTTTCAGCACCTTTAAGTACAGCCAGCGAGGAGATTCTGGCAAAAATAGCATAAGACAAAACTGAACAACAGCCGGCACTCCGGATACCCCAAGCATCCATCGCCATGTTCCAGGAACCTATTCGGAATGTGATGGAGATACATCCGCAGATAACGTGATGGAGATAATATAAGCTTTCAAATGACGAAGAAACGCATCGTTTTGCACTTAAGAGAATTTCTCTATGATGAGACTAACACTTCTCGTAAAGTTTTGTACATCAACTATATAACATTACCAGCATCAGAAATTGCAGAGTTTTACTTGAAACAATAAGTTTATAGAACATGCAAGAGAGAAGACTGACCGTAGTAAAACCAAGATTAACTAGGTAGGAAAGGAATTGTCCACCAGTAATCATAAGCACGTTAGTGCTCACAAGACCTCCTCTAATTTCTGAGGGTGATGCTTCAGCAATATAAACTGGAGCAGTTACAGAAGCCACACCTACCCCCAAGCCCACCAAAAGTCTGCCAAGTATAAGGATATAGGGATCAGGAGCAGCAGCCATAACAACAGATCCAAGCGCAAAAACAACATCTGCAGAAAGAGTTGCTTTTTTGCGTCCATAAGCATCATTAATCCACCCACCAACAGCAGCTCCGACGACAGCACCAACCAAAGCCATGCTCACAATTGTCTCCTACCATATTGGCCAAGAAGAAACTAGTGAGAACAGAATCAACAAGAAAACTCATGCCAGTTTGTGCATTCATGCAGGTGAGATGCAACAAATAGACAGATAAGATGCAACAGATACACCGAACAAGACAGTTAAACCCAATGATAACTTCAAGAGTAGTTGAAGCGCACCATATTTCACATCTTATTTTGCATGAAATTAGACCTTCTTCAAAAGCGCATGCAACAAACACATACAAGGGCAGCACGGCCCATCCATTTGCCAGTTTGTCACGGTAATTCAATTTCTTTTGAACACAAACTCTAAAAAGCCTTAATACTTAAAGAAAAGAAATCCAAATTACATTTTGTCTTTCCAATATGGCTTGTTTCTGAATCTGATACAACCAAAATCTCATTATATTGCTTTTAAAACCATAACATGCTATCTTCCTGCCTCCCACATTTACAACTTTTAGTATAAGTCTCACTCATGCCCTTTATGTGTATGCACAAAAGCAAACACATGTGTTTACACATGTAAATTTTGCCCTATAAAATCATCAAATAGACTGCAAGTAAAAATATCAAGCTAAAGGTACTTGTAAGAAGCTACTCCGCTCCACTACATCAAATTCATCTCGAATGTACAGAAGAGCTCCTGATATCACTCCTGCAAACCAAAATTGAACCAACTTGAGAGGCAATCAATTGGGGACAGTACTTATAGGCATGATAATTTAACCTTGTATTCTACAAGATGCCATTTCATTCAATAACAAATAACTTAAGATTACAAATGAAACAAATCCCTGCAGGAGCTTAAAGAGAAGTACAAATATTTACAAATTTACACACATGATACATCTATTCAATAAAAGTGAGGATGACTAAGCATACAGCTCGAGCAAATTCTAAATGGGCCTAATCGAAAACAGAGAAGCTCGTCATGATTAAGTAATGATCCATCCAGGCAATTCTGACACCTCAATTAGGATGACAAAATACATCCAACGATTGAGAAAAGGTAAGATTAAACAGCAGAGTACAGTATTTCATGAATTCAGCTGAATCAAGCACCAAAAGTGTCACCGTCTTGAAGCAAAGACAGTTCTAATTAATGTCATCCAAAACACGAAAAGAACAATGGGATTAAAAAAAAAACAAAATGCTGAACCATGATTTCCAAAACTCTGCAACAAGTAACACAAAATTTCCAAAAAACAGAAAGTAATTAGGACTCATACATAATCAAACTAGAACAACAATCAACCTTAAACTCAGAAAAAAGCTGAGCTCAAGACAGATGGATCCTGGCCCCACCTGGAACATCAAATTTTTAACAGAACGGAAAAAGTTAAAAACACTGACCGGCAATACATAAAAAATCTACTGGAAAAGAAATTTCCAAGAAGGTTCAAACACCATAATCAGCAATTTGACCCCAGCAGATATCAAAACCGAGAGCTTTTTATTATTATTATTTATTTTTGCTCATTACAAATAAATAATCAACCAGGAAACAATGTTACCCAAAAAAAGGTGTACCCAACTACTTTTACATTGCACAAACGACTCGGAAGCAAGAATAACTGGAAAAAAAAACATGAAAATTTAAATAAACAGAGTTGCAATTCAAGTTTAGTTTTACCTGTATCATACCCAAAAAGCAGACCACCTATACCAGCAGCAAAAGTCAAGCCCACCACATAACTATTAGTGAAGTATGAGATTTTCCTATCCCCAGAATCCAAAAACCCAGAACTTCCAGGCAATGATTCGATCGTCATTACTGTTCCTTTTTTCAACTTTGAAGTCCACTCTGAATCCCCCCACCAAGCAGTGCAAAATTCCGTACTTGCTAGGCGAATTGAACTTAATTCTTCGGCAAACAAACCCTTAAACTATTAAATAGAAGAATAACTAAGTATGAATGTTGCCTACTTCCCTAAAATTTGTCTTCTGAATTGGAAATCAAAAAGGAAAGTTTGCGCTGAAGAAGGAAGGTAATGCTTCCCATAAAACCGAAAAACAAAGAGGATTAGGTGGCGAACTAACGTGATCATTTCAGACAGTTTTTTAATTTTTGATCAAATCGCTTCGGGAGTCCTTTAGTTTAACCCATAATTCGTTTTAATCCATAAACTTGAAGAGGTCACATCTCTAAGGCCTCTATGAATAGCATTTTTATTTTCAATGTGAATTAGGTTTTACTTATTTAATAATTATTGATTTCTAAAATTATAAATTGTCCAAATCGAGTCATCAGCCTAATAATATGCATTTATTTTATGTTCTAAACAACAAGGGTTCTTTCTAAATTAAAAGGTTTAAATCTTCTTTGATTTTACAATTTTCACACCTTTTTTTTTTATTCAATATAGAAAGTTCGTCGAAAAAAAGTAAAATTTGAAAATTAAAGCCATGTTTTTTAGATAGAAAATTATAATTAGCATGCACTCATGTGATAATAAAAAGGGACTGGAAAAGAAATATTAAGTGAAGAACGACAAATATTATGAAGAAAATTAGATATAACTTTATGTTATTTCTCTAATGATCTCTCATTTAAAAATATTACAATCTTTAAAGCTGAAAACAATTGAATAAAAGTTTCTTTCTTTGTTCACTATATTGAATATATTACCTTTATTTCCCAAGAATATGAAATGCAACATCCTTCTTTAGTTCAAGACTTTTATAACATTTTGGCCCGGCATCGAAACCTATATCTGTTTATATCTGATGAGTTAACTTCTATATGTGAATGGGATTTAGGAAGTTGAACTATGTTTTCCTTAGGCTTTGTTTGCCACATTTATTTCTGAAAATTTATCTCTTTTTATGAAATCTTCGATAAATCTTTTTTTACATTTAAAAAAAGAAATCCCCATGCATTTTGTCCATGGTGGATTTTCACTTTGGACAAGGTTCTAAAGTAGTTATCAAAATGAAAAAAAAAAATCACTGATTAATAGAATTAAATCAAAGGACTTTTTAACTCAAAAGTGAGATGTGATGAGAGAACTTGAATAAACTGCAAAATTAAAGGGGCCCTTCTACACACAAGAAAAATAAAAGGAAAGGGGACAAAAAAAAAAGGAACCTTTAGGATAAGAGCTCCAAACTTCTCATCAAATCGTTTCTATAAGTAAAATATAAACATTAATAAAGTGAATGTCATAACCACGCCCCGAAAGTGTGTGATTCGTTTAAATGGTAGCGTGTGAAGCACGCATCATATCTGCGAATATGATAAGTTCTTAATCTGAAGAGAGGTTTCTGAGACTGTCTGTTTGGCTCTAATCTTTGTGATCTCTTCTTAGACGGGCCCAATGTGTAATAGCGCGTGAATCCACGGACATTTGCTGGCCAAAAGCTATCGTTTCCGAGAGGTCCCAGTTAAAAAAACGTGGCGAAGAGTGAATGAAAGCGTTAAGGCAGCTTCTGTCTTACGTAATCATATCCATTCAATTTATTTATTTCTTTGTTTTTTTGGTGGTTGTCGAAAGGGGTATTCAATTATTAATTAGTTAAAAAAAAATAGTTCAATCAACAAAGACTTAAAAATAGCTAGTCCGCTTTAACCATAAGAGGACATCATTATCCCAACAAGTGGCCAATTTCATGTGGTATTTTTATTACTCCTCCAAGAAAAGAAAAAAAAATTATTTTAACATCCAATTTGAAAAAGAAAAATTATTTTATCGTATTATTTCAATTCAGTGAAGTGAGTTTTCATGTGAGACAGATGCTACGGAATATGTTTGCCCAAACATAATTCTTAAACATAATTTTAGTTAAGGTGATCGTGTCATTTGTCATTTGTCATTTGTGTCAGAGTCAAGCACAAGTTCATTTTTATTGTCGATAATTTTGTAGTGTTCTTTTAGTAAAAAAAAAACAAAAAAAAAAGGTTTCCTTATAGGAACACTGTTACTCAAATTTACATTCGAATAGTTGACAGTAAAAGGGAATCATTTACCAAAATAATGGTTTGAAACAACTTGTCGCCTAAAATAGAGAGATCAGTGGGAGTGGTCAGGAAGTACCTTTACCAGAAAACGAATTTCTATTTTTAAAAACTACAGTATAAACAACGGAATTTCATTATCCGTTTTTTACTGTAATTAAGAGTAATTAGTTTTTTTAGGATGGTTTAACATAAAAACGGAAAACCATGTTCTGTATTAATAAAATAAAAAAAAATTCTTTATTAATCCTTATACTTAAATAAAAGGCACAGTAAGCAAGAAATAATGTCCAAGTAATATTCAAGGTCCACCGTCGAATCGATCTTGTCCATAGGAAGGAGTTGATATGATGTCAGTGACTCATTAAGGGTAAAAATGAGATTTACTAAATTCAACATATTCTAATTTTTTTTTAAAAAAAAAACCGTATGCTTTTGAGGGAAGAAGAAAACCCCCAAACAAGAAAATGAAGTGGTAAAGCCCCGACATAAAAAAAACTTGTGTTGTCTCTAGGTCTAGGGTGAAAATGAAAATTCAAAAATCATGATTCCCATTAATTTTAAGGAAAAAAAAAACGAAATCTTTTGGTATAAATCCCCCTCCCACAAAACGATTTGACTCACCGCCCGATATATTAAAAACTCCAATTGACAATCGCTTCGTTCTCATCTTCGGATTTGGGAACCAAGTATAGCTCGGAAAGAAAATCGTCTGGCAAGACTTCTGCTTCCTCTAACGCAAAACGGGTTTACGTGTTTGTATGAAGTCCACAACAATCAAAATGGTGTTTCCGGCTTCTGTTTAACCAAAAACACTGCTGGTTCTCTTCGTTCCTCCACCCCTTTTGATCCCTACGGCTTACTGCCAACAAAACTTCTTTTACGATTAGGCTCGGAATTCCAAAAATCTGACGGCCTCGAACATGAAGGACTCAACACCGCTACCAATTTCTATTAAGGAAAGCCGCTAAAAATTTTGAGAACCACTGCTCTGGTTACGGGTCTCTAACTTTTATTATTCCCTCGAACTTGCATCAGTGTTTGTTTAACTATCGAGCACGCCGAGAAGCCGGAAAATATCAAGATTGTTTAAGATTTCAATGAAAGATTCGTCAGAAGATTTCTTTATCGAAATGTTCGAAGTTTTTTTTTTTTTTTTTTCCTTTTTGAGATTTGGGTTGTTATGGAATGTTTGGTTTGTTTGTGATGATTTTGTAATAAAGCTGTGATTTGTTTCCTTTGGTGAGCACAAAGTTGGATTGAGATTCTGAAGATTGAAGTGAGGTTTCAGAGGAGATGTCTACGTAGACGGCAGAGCACTTCCATGTTTTAACTCTCTGAAATTCTACACTGACAACCTTGGAGGTATTTAGTCTTATCAGAGTTTTTGCAGAAAGAACTACTGTTGTGTTAAGATATCATCTGCTGTTGTTTGTTGTTTAAACTTCCTGTCTTAAGTTTACTTTATTTGGATTGTTGAGTACATGTAGCTCAAAAGCTTGGTTTGATTCGGACATTGCCAAATAACTAGATGAGATAAATTTAGTTAGAAGTAGTGGCTTGTTTCTATGTATTTTACATGCTTTAGCTCTTGTATTTCTTTTCCTATGTTTAATTCTGATCTAATGTACATCCTTTGCGAACATTGCTTTACTGAGCATCTTCATAACATTCTTTATCAACTTTGTGTTGTTGCGACTTTTGGTTTTTGGAACAATAGATTTGCCTTTGGTCGCTGTCATTTGCAGATGGCATGTTGTAGCTTTTGAACTTGAAGACTAAAAAATTTTGGAGCTATACTACCGATGTTGGAAGTGCGGTCGTAGGATTAAAGCTGCTGAATGCCCCTTCAATGGTAAGGAAGTTGAGAGAAAAGGTAAAACTAGAAAACTAGAGGTGAAACATTCTGATTTGGAATTATTGTGCTCTTTCGGGTTTTTGCCGATTAATTTTAAGAGAATTAAAACAACAATAATGTATGGAGAATTTAAACACACGATAATCTGTATTTTGGGGTTCGAGAAAGAAAAAAATGGCGTCCGAAATCCGAAGTGAAACCATAAGATTCCGGCTACGGAGGCAAACTTGTCTCATAAGTAGCGAGTGTGTTTGGCGTTTTCGAAGAAGGATTTAAGACTATGAATTTTCTTTTATTAGCAGAATACCATCAAATCTCACAAATAGAACCACCCAAGCTCTCTTTACAGCTTTGCAACTTCTGCTTCGAAACCGGTAAAATCTATGGTTTCTCCCATAATTAAGTGGTTGCCATAGTTTTTGAGTTTTGAGTTTTTTATTCCGATTCTATAGTTTTTGAGTTTTTGTATTTTGGTTTATCGTGGTTGGTTTGCTTCTGTGCTTTTTTTGAAATTGAATAATTTCTTACTATTTCTGCCTTATTATAATTATGAATCATGAGCATTGAATAGCATAAATACTTTTTCTGTTTTAGAGATGTGTTAAATTCAATACTTAACTGTTAGTATTTCAAGAAAACAAATTTCGTCTCCTCTAAAGTGCAATCTCGTTCTTCTGCAACTCTAGCAAAGAATTTTCTTCAAATTCAAGCTTCCATCCTCTTACGCAGGTAGTTTTCCATCCTCTATCCTAAGATATTGTTATTGTTTTTATCCTTCTTGTTTAAGATAACAGGGAGTTTGCTATTATCAGTTTGCTATAACTTGATGTGTTCAATCATGCGTCAACATTAGTAGTTGGCATTGATTACAACTTGGTTTGCTTATTAGTCATTGACAATTGGCATTGACCGTCATATATAACTTGGTTTTCTTGATTACAACTTTTTTCTTTTAATCAGACATGATAGTTGGCATTGATTAATTTAATTTGTTCTTGCTCTCTTGCTCAGAATCGACTGAGCTGCTTTTTGGATGTCTGACTAATAATACTGATTTACATTAAAGCTTGTCTAAAGCACGATCTGTGTGTAGTTGTTGATTAAATAATTTCAACAGCACCCGTGCAGTTTCTGTGTATGTTGTTGCTATTGTTGTTTTGATCGTTATCGTACTGACTAATTAATCATGAAGAATCATAATTATAAGACTGATTAAGTTTGATGACCTGCTTCCCGTTTTGATTCTCTAATTATTGTTGTGTCTTGTTGTGATTGTTTTGATGTGCTGTTATTGCTCTTGTATGTTGCATCTCCTGCTTCTTTGTGTATCCGAAAATTAGGAATTATATATGTAGTTTTTAGTTTAGATAAATCATGCGTGCTGAATATGTATACATATATACAATAGTGTATTTCTTAGGCCTTATATGTTCTTTATTCTTGTTTTTGTTTTTGAAATTGTATGGCAATGATATAGGCTAGAATAAAGCTTATCTGAATACGTGCAGTTTCCCAATATGTTGGTGTAGGGAAGTGGCTGAAGAAAAACCGTATCCGTGGGTTCAGTTTCCATTGATGCATTCAAGTTGCAAGCGCAATTCCAGAGGAGATAGCTTCTTATGGTTCTTCCGTAAAAGCATTAAGTAGCACGGTAAAAGATTGATTCATTTTGAAAGAGCTAAAGTTTAAATAAGAACGCTGTTGTTTGCTGCTGCATCAGGCTAGCAGCAGCTTATATGCTGTTTTCTGGCCTGATCATTGATCGCTCGATTTGAAGATTGCATTAGTTAGGGGTCGCAAGTTGAAGATAGTGATAGATAATCTATCCACAAATATATTATATTTTTGATGTTCCTTTGCACCTTTCTTTTTTTTTCCTCCTTGTTGTTAGTGTCTATACTTTGATCCATTCAATCAATCCAATTTTGTTTCCGTAGGAATTTCATCCTCTAAAATTTTTAATCAATGATTATGTGTAGAGATTGCATATCATCGTGCTCGACTTGAAAATTATGGTATCAACATCACATTTCATACTATTTTTACTCGATGAATAAACGGCTACGGGGATGATGGCTATTGCTAAACTGTATTGACATTGGACAAGTATTTTTGTCCCACAAACACACACAAGTATTTTACTTTCGATTTTCTTAGGATAATTTGTAATATTCATTTTTTTAAAACAAAACAATTTGGACAATATTCTAATGTTTTTTCCAGAAAAAAATAAAAAACAATTGCTTCGCTTTTTTCCAGAAGCTATTAAGTTTGTTATGGAACGTGTAGTTGAAATTAACTATAACATTCTCAAATACAAAAATCGTAAAAAAAATCAAACCGAAACACTGGTCGCGCAACGCTCGACACATGTAAGACTAGTTTTTATAATATTATGAATAAGAATTTCGGTAAAAAAATTCCTCAAATCTAAAACGGAATTTGGTTTTTCGTTTTTAACCTAAACTAGTAAAAAAAACAAAGCACATTTCTGTTTCTCAGCCTGTAAAGTACCAGAAATAGCACTAAAAAACAGATCTAAAAACGGAATAAAACAAAAGAAAAATTCCACTTAAGGAACAACGTACAAAAGAGATACTAATATCTATAAGCAACATCGTACAAAAGAAGCAAATATAGTCAATATCCATCTAAATCAGTTTAAAACTACGAGTCACAACCTAGGAACAAACTAATCCTTCGGTGATGGTGGCGGCGTAGTCTTAGAAGGTGTATACCTTTTGGGAGGCTTACGGGTCTGTTACTCTTTTTGTTTTTGCCAAAAGTAGACTACGTTGCTCTAAATTCACCTCAACCTCAACATCTATATTCTCAGCTTGTTCCATGACATCTTGTTCCATGGCAGCTTGTTCCATAAGAGAAGGAGTCTGAAACATGCTTGCATCAAGGGGATCTTGTGGTATTTTCCTTCTTCCTCCAATTCCAGCCTTAGGGACATTAGCCCTGTGATGTTTAGCAACTGGTCGGGCTCTTTTAGGAGTAGTTTGAAGGAGCACTTGGCTGGGATACACTGTAGGCATCTCTGTTGGCACAATCGACAGGGCATTCATCGCAAAACTATGGATTGATTTGCAAAATTCAGCACATTTCTCATTTGAACACCAGTTCGAGGCCTAATTGGAGATGTCAAACAAATTATCTGTCTGTAATTTTCTAGAAAAGATATTTAACAATTATAAAAAAGAATATAAAATAACAAAGATCCATTAGAAACAGAAGGAATCGAGTTGAAAAAATTAGAATAAAGAAGAGAGTTAGGAAGGCTTACATATATTTTGGCCCTATCTGATTGTTCAAGAAACCCTTCCACCCTTTGGCCGTACTTAGTAGGATCGGTACTGAACTTCACGGTCCTGGCTTGATACCAAGGAAGATAATCTACAACGGTTGTAGGTATATCAACCGATAATCCAACCTCAATAGATTGGAATCTGTCATCCTAAGAGGCGATATACTCACTATTCTTATCTACCCAATTAGTGTCATGATATCCGGTCATATCATAACGGTAAGTTTTGGTCCATTCAGTTTTGTTGGCAATCAATGGAGGTTCTGGGATAGTTTGGATTTGTCCAAACTGTCGCAGGACCCGATCAGGTTGATGTGGTTCTATAACATCAAAACAAATCAACCATGTTTTTGCCTGCCAACTGACGAGTCCGGATCCACCAAGGATTACTGGACCGGCCCATCCACCAATTAGGGCGTAGCTGACCTTGTGAAGGCGGTTCAGGAATATGTGTCCTTATGGGATTCGCCTTTCTTAGAGGTAATTCCACGCCTATAAACAGGGTTGGTCTCACCACAATTGAGGCACGCGATCTTTGACTCCAATTCACATACCCAGACTACCATGCAACCCTATTTTTCTGACTTAAGCTTCGGAGTGTCTACCCTCGGGAGGCCCCGAGGCTCTGTTTTGCAGAAAACCCTAACCGGAGTTCCACCGCTAGACTGCTGGTACAACTCCAGGTATCATCAAGTGGCACGCACAGTGGGATCCGAGAATTAGGGTTTGTGTCACAAGGCTTTCCCAAGCTTTCAAAGCCTTTTCGATCCGCTGCTACCACTCCAAGCTAAGGTTTCTCTAAAATATAATGGCTATAATCGATAATCCCCAATCCAGTACCGCGTCGACTGATAGGCGTGAAAGCCCCAGTGATGATGAAACCCTAGCGAGATTCCAGGAGAGACAGAAGCGGAAGAAAAACGTGTGGCAGTCGAAAAGAAAGATATCCCCCACAAAGCCAACCAATCGTGTAGGTAAAGGGGAAGAAGATCCAGAAACTCATCACAAAGTTCCTGATCTGTACCAAAAACAGCGACTGGCCGAGATCGAAGCGGAATTGAAGAAATTGAAAGAAAGCAATTCCCTCAACCAGAGGAAAAAGAAATACATACTAGAGGAATACCAATGTTGTTGTTTACTTGGCCTCCCAGATCCTACGGATCAAGAACTAGAAGATCTAGTCGAGGAAAAGGAAGCGAAAAGAACATTATCCCTCCTCAAGGTGAGGCGAGGAAAACGGAAAGTCTCGGGTGAAGGGGGAGAAGAGTTGCACAAGAAAGCCCACAACTGCGAAGCCCTCTCACGCCGAGGCCTCCGAAAACCCTGGTGACAGCTTTTGGGATGCCCTCAAGAGAACAAATCCGAAAGTTTTTGCAGCGGTCAGGCGATTCGCAAGAGAACCTCGGCAGAGAAAACAGTTTCACTGCCAACCTAGCCCGCGATCGCCTAGCGTTGAGGAATTGTCAAGGGGAGAGTTCCACGGGGAGAGTTCCATTCTCCCCCGTGAGGTAATGTCCACTCTCGATTGGGACCTAAAGCTCTTCCAGAGAAGTTTTATCACGACCACTGTGGTACTCATCACAACTCAAGATACATACCTCATGATCACTAAAGGCACGGCGTTCCCTATGTTGAGGACGCCCAATATACTCGACAACGAGAGAACCAAGGCCGCAAAGACCCGTCCATCCGCGACTCGATGAGAAGAATGATAGGAATGATCGTGGATAAGAGTCCCTTCGTCCTGTGGATTCGAGACTGTCTGAAATCCCGAGACTTTGACTTCCCAAAAGACTTCGCCAATTACTCGGGAGACACCGACCCACAGCGGTTCTTACACAAGTATGTGCAAGTCATGAGAATCCAAAACGCATCTCTTGACTTCATGGCTAAAGCTTTACCGTCCTTCCTCGACGGGTAAGCACAACGTTGGTTTGGACAGCTGCCGGAGGGAAGCATCGACAGCTTCGAGGACGTGTCTGTGAAACTAGCCACACGCTTCTTCCCCAGCAAGCAAATTACAAAAAATGTCAATTGATCTGGTGTCGATCAAACAGGGACAAAACGGGAGTCTCTCGGACTTCCATCGTCGCTTTACTCAAGAATCCCTCCAAGTAGACTACCTCGATGACAGAGACGTGCAAAATGGATTCATCCAAGGCCTCAATCCATGGGGAAAATCTGCTCACCTCGGGGTGAAATTGACCACCAAACCGCCCCGAAATACACAGGAGATGTGGGCCACAGTGGAGAGCTATATCTAGCGCGAGCAGACACTCAAGTGATCACAGGAGTCCTTCTTGCTTGCGGGAGACCGAGGGGGAAGGGACAAGTTCATATCAACGACAGAGAATAAACCGCCCTTGCCTAGGCTCGACAGGACCTTAACCCTGTTGTAGAAGTCCCAACGAGAAATACTTCAGATCCACAAGGATGAGTTTCCCACTCCAAAACCATTAGCCCATAACCCGAATAGGTCTACGAGTCAATACTGTGAATACCACAAAGACCACGGGCATGATACAGAATATTACAGGGAACTCAAGCGGGAAATTGAGGCAGGGGTCAAATCCGGAAAGTTTCAACAATATGTATAAAATACACAAGGTGCTCCACGAGAAAAAGGAAGAAAATTTGCGGCGTCCCGTAACTTCCCTAGGCAGAACAATAACCGCGGCCCTTGAGGAGATAACTGAGGAAATAATTGGCAGCAAAGGAATAACTCGCAGCAACCTACCCAACAGTCCCTGGACGGAGGGCCACAACCAATTCAGCAAGTCCCTCCTCCTGATCCAACCAAACAAATCACTCACAACATAGAAGCTATCTACGGCGCACCCCTAGAGGTCTTATCCACAACGGCAATGAAATCGTCACTTCAAGAAGTAACTAAGACACCACCTCAAGAACCAAGTCATAAACGGTTCAAGGGGACGGAGGCAATAGTCTTTACAGACAGTGACGTTGTACATGGCATCTGTCCGCACAGTGACGCAATGTTTATTGAGGCTATCATAGGAAACGTCAAAGTAAGTCGAGTATATGTGATAACGGGAGCACGGTGGATATAATATATAGCGAGTGTTTCAAGAAGATGAATGTGAAAAATCCAGATTGGCATCCCGCAACATTGCCGCTAATGGGCTTTTCAGGGCACATGATAATCCCTAGTGGGATCGTCAGGCTTCCTATCACGGTACGGTCGCATCCTCGAATGGTAACTCTAACGATAGATTTTGCCATAATCGATGCACCCTCGCCATTTAATGTGATCCTAGGATGACCATGGATGTGTCAGGCCCGCGCTGTTTGGTCACCCTACCACTTGGTCGTGAAGTTTTCAACAGAGTATGGGATAGGAATTGTACAAGGAAGCCAGTGCAGTTCTCGAGAATGCCTACTCACAGCAGTGAAAATTGGGAAGAAAACAGTAAGCCAGAGCTGGCTATTACCACGTTGGGATGTTATTCTGTTCAACAAGGAGTGCTGCCAATCAAATGTAAGGGGGAAGAACAGGACATGGATCTCAACCAGCCACCACTGAACAGCAAAACAGAAGAATTAACCTGGACGAGAAAGATCTGGAAAAAACAATTAAGCTCGGAATATCTATAAGCAAAATTTTGCGAGTCGAGGCAATCGCCTTACTATGCGAATTTCGAGATATCTTTTCTTGGTCGCCGTTTGATATGACCGGAGTTCTTTGAGAAATCATCAAGCACAGGTTGAAGGTCGACCCAATGTCAAGCCGATCAAACAGAAAAAGAGAATTTTCGCCCGCGATTGTAATGATGTCATTAATGAGGAAACACTCAAATTAGTCCGCGCCAACATACTCCGGGAGGTTCTTTGGCCAACGTGCTGGCCAATCCAATCCTTGTTCGGATACTGGATAATTCTTGGTGCATGTGTCAAGATTACACAGACCTAAACAAGAATTGCCCTAAAGATTGTTACCCTTTGCCCATCATTGATCAGATGGTGGAGGGGATAACAGGCTTTAGAACCCTTAGCTTCCTCTACGCGTATAAAGGATACCACCAGATCCTTATGACCCGAGAAGATGCAGAGAAAACAGCTAACATTACAGAAATTGGAGTGTACTGCTACGATAAAATGCCTTTTGGCTTAAAAAACGCTGGAGCCACCTATCAGCGGCTCATCAACAGAGCCTTCCAAGATCAAATCGGGCGAAACATCGAGATTATGTAGATGACATGGTCATAAAGAGTAATCTCGACAACAGGGTAGTCGAGGATATGAGAGAAATCTTCACAATCTTTCGAGCAATTAACATGAAGTTGAATCCGAAGAAGTGCACTTTTTGCGTTGGCTCTAGAAAGTTCCTAGGCTTTCAAGTGTCAAAAGACGGAATAAACGTGGATCCCGCAAAAGTCGAAGCAATTTTGTCCATGGAAGCCCCAAAAACAGTCAAAGAAGTGCAAAAGCTTACAGGATCCCTAGCAGCGTTAAATAGGTTCCTATCTCGGGCTGCAGAAAGGAGCCTACCCTTTTTTAAGACATTGCAAAAAGGGAGAAGTTTTGCGTGGACCAAAGAATGTTAGAAAGCCTTCCAGGACTTGAAAGAGCATCTCAAACAACTTCCCATGATGGCTAAACCGGAGCCGGGAGAAACCTTGTATGTTTATCTAGCCGCTCAAGAAACGGCCATTTCCGTGGTTCTCGTCCAGAAAAAAGATGGCAAAGAGATCCCAGTCTACTTTGTGAGCAAAGTCTTACAGGGGGCAGAATCTCGATACA